GAGAGAGAGAGAGACTTTACTTTACTATCATAAAAGATTTGAATATAACTATGTGCAAATTGCAACGGAATGAGTTGCACTTCCTTTCATCTTGAACATTTGAAAGAACATTCGAAAATTTTCCTTTCATGTTTTAATAATAGAAATATTGATTCAGTTTCCTTATTTTGTCAAAATATAGGTTAATTTGTTATGGCTAATAATAATGTTTTTTGTCATGCAAAACATGGTCCGTTTGCCACAGTGGGATACCAAACTAAAGCTTGCATTGATTCATTTGGTGGAACCAATTTGCGTACCCTGGAGGAAGAAGTCTCTAAAAAAGTTGATATTTTTATGAATTTGCTTCTTCGAATTCCTCAAGAATGCAAAGATGGGGTAAAGTGCTCTTATTTTCTTTATTCATTGATTACATTTTTCAACATGTAGTTGTGTATTTGCATGTGTGGATGGGTGGACATGGACATAGGCATTTGAACTCCCATGGTTTGAACTACGGGAGTTGGTATTGATTATTGGCATAGGAGCAGTTGTTATAATATGTGTTCATGAGTATGAACCATATTTGTGCCTGCACATGTGTGCGCATACAACGCATTTGCATGTGTTGCTATGTTGTGAATGAAAACTTGTTCTTGACTTGGAAAAAGTTGCCAAATCAACTCAACTCATCTTGTTCAGTGGATGACTTCTATTAATGAAAATAACTTGGATTAGCCTGAGTTTGCCCTTGATGGGCGGAGTGATCTCCACTCAAGCTCTAGCTCTATCACTGGAGCGCGATTTAGTGGGGGAATGTCCACCACCAATTAAGTTCCCCACATTTATGAGTTACTTCAAAAACAAAGAGAGAAAAAAAAAGAAAAACTCATCAGAGTTTCTCTAATCTTATTCTTTAACTCAATGAATCAATCAAGTTTTGGTGGGGATAGAGTCAGTGGGCAGATCGAGTTTTTTTTATCTCTGTTTCTAGGTTCTTATAAAACATAGGTTTCTAAGGCATCTATATCATGGTGTTGTGGCATCTTGCCTTATTTTTAGTAGCTTATCATATATGCAACTTAGCCCTTGGAGATTCGCTGTGATTCATTACAAATAATGAATTTATGACCCTTCTAGATGAAAAATAAAAGAAATCTGGACCATCTTCTTCTTTTGTAGGTATTTTTTGTTTGTTAGTTTTACTATCTTAGTTATGTACTATTTTTTCTGAAGAACTTAAATTCTTTCAGGCCTCTATGGAATTCTTCTTTAATTGCTCAGTGAAAATAGTCAGGACCTAGCTTATTCAAAAATTTTGTATGATATGTTAGAGAAGTTTAAATTGATGGAAGTTCTATCCACCTTAAGGCTTTTCAAAAATTTTGTATAGTGTGTTAGAGAAGTTAAATTAATGGAGGACTTGTATCGACATTAGGACTTTGAAATGCATTTGACCAATTGACGCTGCAAGCATCAAACGAATATAGGCAGCCAGTGTCATAAACAATGGAGATGAGCACATTGCACAGATGACAGACATCTAGTCAGGACTATGGTTCATCTCCACCACTCATTTTGACAAAGCATAAGCAAGAAAAACTTTGAAGAGATATTAGGGCAACATCTCGATGACTCAAGTACCTTGCCTCAATAAGGACATTTCATGTGTATATTATACATTTTCTTTAAAATTTAGGAACAATTTTTTTAATTGGGAGTTTGAAGAACTTAAATGGAGGATAAGTACCTTGGTTTTGGGTTTTCTTTTGCATTAAAGTTTTTGTGCTGAAAACTTTTATGTTATGAGAAAATCAGTTTTTTGGATTCTTATTGCTAATATTTCTATTATTTATTGTTGCTCAAGGAATTCATGATCTTGTTATGCTTTTAGATTGATGTCATGGTCAAAATAGTTGCTGGAACGCCAATCAAGAAAGTTGTTCTGCAAGAGGTTATTTCTTGTAAAGCTGTTTGGGTTGTTCTCGACAGGTATTGTTTTTCAATATTATCTCTTTCTATGTTGGTTTCCTAATTTCACAAAATGGCTTTGTTAGTCAAACTTATTTGCATGGTCTCTTCATGGAATGTGTACTTCTAAGTAATTTTATATTAACATTTGTATTTTTTTTCCAATTAAATAGTAACCTTGTCACAGTGCATGGCATGTTGAGATATCTTAGATGAAGTTGAGGCTTGGATTTTCTTGAGTTAATTTGAGCACATGGCAACTATCGTAGTTCCTAGGAGAGGAAGCGGGATTGGATGTGGGACGGAGTTGTTCCTTCCCACCCCTGCCCCCTTCTAAAACCCAAAATTGACATTTGTTGATCCCATAGTGGTGCCCACCAAGAAGAGCAGGGCCTCGTCCTTAAAAATATCAAGAGAATGGGAACTTGTTCCCATTCCTGAGCCACATAACTGGATTCCAGTAGTGGGAGTGCTCCTTAGATGGAAGATCCCTGCAACTGTGGTAACTATATTATTGATTTTGGGGAATATTAGATGACAGGTGTTGGCTAATCCATATCATTTTGTGAAAATCATCATCTTCATCATCCGAGCCTTATCCCAACTATTCAAGGTCGGCTACATGAATCATGTGCCGCTATTCCGCTCTATTAAGGGCCATACCCTTAGGTAGACTATAAGTTACCATATCTCTTCTCACTATTTCTATCTGTCTCTTCCCCTTGCCCTATTAGGGCCTTCAACTTGAACTAAATTGCCTCTCCTCACTGGTGTTGTTTTACATAGACTCTGCACATGGCTAGACCACCGAAGTTTATTTTCTTCCATCTTATCGCCTATTGGAGCCACCCCTAAGTTCCCTTGGATGTATTCATTTGGAATTCTATCATTTCTTGTCTTGCCACTCATCCATCTCAACATCTTCGTCTTGCCACTCATCCATCTCAACATCTTCATCTCCGTTACACTCATTCTATGGATATGCTGTTTTTTTTACCGCTCAACATTCTGTCTCATAAAGTATGACTAGTCTTACAGCCGTCCTACAGAACTTCTCGTTTAGTTTCATTGGTATGCGACAATCACATACGATACCATAAGCACATCTCCACTCCATCCAACCAGCCCTAATTCTATGCACGACATCTTCTTCAATCTCTCCATTCTCATGGATTATCGACCCAAGATATCAAAGTATCTCTTTTAGGTCATTCATTTCATTTCATGAAAATATCATTTTATATATTTAATACTGTGATCAAACACACACTATAAAGAAAAGTTAATACTCAATTACAGGATGTATACAAGGTTGTGTGGGGCCGAAATAGATTCAGCCATTCCCAAACTAACATGCACAATTCTCTCTGAAACTCGAAACCTCTGAATGGCACTTGTCTATGTAGCCCACTGCCAATCACCAAGAACCATGTCATACTTGCCACTGTATGAGACCTGTCAGAATCTAACTAATTATGGGCCTTCCATGGCACATCATGACATCATGTCATGGATGTTGCGGTGCTTGTTTGATGTTAATGCCCATGCTCTTGCATCTTTCACCATGCTTGCAGTGCCGGCTGCTGTCTTCACTAGCAGATGGAACTTCTCAAGACATCAGACTGTTGTCGCTTTCAAAAAGGATCTGGACACCCACAATGCTGCCTTTCTTACTATATAACGAGCCTTCTCGCTGTGCATTTGTCGAACAAACTCAAATAATAAGGGAGGGCTCTTAGGGTGCGTTTGTTTTTTTGAAAGATAACTTCTGAAAAGTTGAATGTTTTGTTCTGGAAGGTTTAAATAAGTTCTAGGTACTATGTTTGATAACTTGCTGTAATGTTAAGAAATTTATGCGTATTGTGTTTGATAACATGTATATTAACAATATAAATGTAAATATAATATATATAGGGGAATGATTTTATGCAATCGGTTGTATAGTAGTATAATGCAACCATCTTCAAAAACCATGTTAGAGACATTTTTTTGACATGAATTTTAAACTGTGTACTCTTTTCATTCTAAAGAACAATCATAAAAAAGGAAATTTTGAAAAAACGCCCTGGAAAGTGTTATTCTAACCCAATTAATATAAGCTGTCCATTTTAGTGAGATGGTTGGATATAGGCCTCAGAAGGTTTTTTTACTCCCAAAATTTTTATATAGTGTTATCATCATTAGATTAACAATGCTAAAAAAGGAAAAAGTTATTTTGAATTTGTTAAGGCCTAGATCTTGGAATTCACCAAATGGGCGGTAGAGATTTATTCTTGGAGGGTGCTAATTTTGACTATATCTGTGGTGCAAATTGAATTTGTTTTCATAGGATTAATTATGAGGATGAAGAGAATGTGAGTGCAAAATTTGGGGCCCTTCAAATACCAAAAACATGGCTTTCTAGAGGTGTGGTTGCATTATACTACTATACAACAGTTGCATGAAATCATTCCCCATATAATATAACATAATATAATATATAATATAATGTATTTTATATATTTTATTAATGAATATTTGTATTGTATATAACATATAATATAATATTTATTATAATATAATATAAAATATTTATATAATTTATATTATAAAATATAATGACGCGGTTCTATGCGGCCAAGCCCACATATGTAGAAATAGCGGGTGTATTAATAAAT